TGTTGTACCATACACCTGGTCCATGTAGCAAAGGCGTGACGATGAGACTTAGTAACCCAGACGCAGGTGAGGGGTAATAATGCCTCGAGTAGCACAGATGGGCTGGCAGGGGTCGAGTGAAATACTTGAAACAGAGAGATAGCAGACGGATCTTACAGGGCAAGAGAGAGACTGTAATAAGGCCTACGGAAGGAGTACTGCGTAACAATATGGCAGATTCTGAGCAACATTCTCAGCACAAGGATAAAGGGGGGTGGTGTGAACTCCAGCGTGGAGTGTGAAGGGTTTTTCATGAATTCTGCTCAAAGGAGCACATCACACTACATGTGAATAAGCACGATAAAATTGTAATAGTGAAGGTGTGATAGGAGGATATAGGAAATGTAAATAGCCCAGGGCAGAAGGAGAGATACCACAACTATTTAGCACATGTTTGGTCAAAGGATCGGCTTCAATTGTCTCTTTGATGAGTTGTTGTGTGATGCTAAGAATGGCGATACTCACTGACGATGCCGACTACGATGCCGGCGAAACGTTTGGGAATGTTCCCCGTCCATGGTCCGATTTTGGAAATGATCATGCAGACAATGGACTCCGGACTAGGTGCGTTCCTCTAAGTCTTACCAAAATGACCAAGTTGCGTTAACAAGATCAAACAACCTCTATACAACGAAAGGAGACTGCGACCACACAAAAGATCACACCATCTTTGTCTTCATATCTTCAAAAAACTTAGTTAGTCTGTGCTACTTAAAGGGGAACTGATAATAGATAGGACGACCAAGATGGCGTACCCTTAGGTTTGACCACAGGTTTTATTCATATGTATAGTTTGAGCAATAGTCAAAATTAGCATTAGTTATTTTATAAAAACCAAATTCACATCCACTCTGTGACAAGCTTTTAGTTTAACTGTGTGGCAGATTGGATTTATGTGAGTAAAAGCTTGGTTTCGAAGAATCTCTTAAACTATTAATGCTGTGGTACCTTCCAGTTCGTTCGTAAAATAGTTCGTAGATTGAGAACCCAAAAGAGATCTCATGCTGGATCTTGCAAGAAACACTTCGGCTCACTGTCCTGTAAGCTTGATCCATCCCAGCTGAGCTTTCGTCCTTCATGTATTTTGGTGGTTTTAATAAGATTTTGCCCAAATGATGCTTTCTGGCTCTGGTAATGCACACCACACTACGGAATTTGCACAATCCGATAGCTTTACTCTTCGCAGTCGAGCCAGTAACTCCGCAAATCACGAAAAGCAGGTGCATCACCACATCACAGTTGACACTGACTTCTGCCCAGCTTCACCATTCCCGTTAGTTGCGACTTGCCAATTCGTGGTACCGACTGTCCAAGCCTACCAAGCCGTATAAAGAGGACAGTCGTTGCCCTACCAAGTATTCCCCCAATTTGCTCATACTTAAGCTCATCCCCAATGTATCGTTTCACTTCATCCGAGATGATCAGACAAAGTGGTGGGCCTAATGTATGAAACAGATTCATAGAACGGTCACAATCCCATCATATTAGTTGTAACATAAACGCAGTCAGGCAAGTCTAGGCACCGACCCGCACCCCGCCGGCCTGTTTGTGTTTATGGCTCTAATTACCGTCGAGGTTACCAGCCCCGATGAATCGCCTCCACACTTCGAATGTGTGGGGTAACGGGACTCCCACTACGGGAACACCGACCCCTTGCCCCCGGGCCCCGAGCATTACTTTTCGTCCAGTCGCTACATCCTCCGGCCTCATTAAATCACGCCAATAAATAAACCACTCAAGGATGACTTTATCCGTGGTCCGAAGACATTCTGCACGGGGATGCCCCAACGACGGGGTCTCTTGGGTCGTAATCACCTGTCCGCTGAGCCAGGTCATCCGCGCCCTATTGCCCCCGGAGCGTATTATTTCCAGTTCACCCCTCAGGAGATGGGAGTATTTCCTCTCTGTATTTTGCCATCTTTACGAGGACCCAATTATTTTTCTTTTAGTAGCACATGCATGAGGCTTGAGTCCCTGTTGCCAGAACGGCGGCAACGAGTCCCCGGGTGACCTCAGGTGACCGACTTTCCCAACCAGGTAAAAACTGTTCACTTGCTCTTTTGGTTCTCGGAATTCAAATAACCACAATTTATACACCAAATCACGATAAACAAATGGGCATAATAATAATTAAAAATATTAATAGCATTAGCTAACCTCGAAATCTCTCCTAAGCTCTGTAAAAACCACATTAAGGAAACCTTATTTGGACCAACATTCTGCTAAATCATACATTGTTAATAAAAAAGCAATCAAGTGCTAAAACAAAAATTAATCTCAAAGGCATATCGATATAGAGAAAAATTCCATTGATTCAACAAAGTAATATTAAAAAATAAACTAGACTAAGAACAATAATAAACCTAATATTTCTCTACTAAGGAGCAAGCTTAACATCCTCAAATGGGCCACATTGTTCACCAGCTAGCAATAACAAAAATTTCTCATATCTTTGTATTAAGAATAAATGGGTTTCAAAGAAGCCCATTAATATTTTATGAGTTACGAAGGAAAATTTGGTTCTAAGAAATTCGTGAATCTGTAGCATCAGTAATCGAATGTCAATGTGTAAAGACAGTTGAATTGTGCAAAAAAGTTCTGAGCTCATCGTCTCACGACCTTGATGAACCTGTGGTAAGTTTTAGTCAGTCAAGTGACAGATAAAGCAAGGTAATATCGGCCACTACATCTTCTACCTACCCTATCTACATTAATGTAGGGCAAGTATGTCATAACCAACGAAATCTTTAGGAACGCAAAGTTGAGCATAAGAAATGAGTTATTCTCCCGGGCCACGATTGGCTCATAGTTTTGATGCGTTTTTTCGCTCTGACCATGTCTGTCGTGTGGCAGACGAAAGCTTAGCACTAGTTCATCGGGATGGCAGGAGTGTGAGGCTACGATTTGATCACACAATAAATGTGGATGGTTCTACGAGTAGTAGCTTAGTTTTGGTGAATTTCGTAAAACAGCATTTTTGTAGGTTCCTTAATTTTGTTTGTAAGCTCAGAAAATAAGGGGTTTGTGGGTCAATTTCACCAGAAGTCGGTGTATGATTTCCGTCAATTGTAACCGCTTTGCTGTCCTTCATACCACCTAACAAACATTTAAAGAAGACTAGAAGATTTTGCAGGAATTAGCTTCAGCTCTGGCGATCTCTGTACATTGATATGTCGGATGAAAGCGAAGCGATGGACGATTTGTGGAAGACTGCATCAGCCTTAAAGTTCAATATAGAAGTTAAACTTATGTAGAACAACGCGATTAATTCGTCATTTTTTAGCGGGATCAACTAATGCAGCTCTTCAACATGCCTCTTTATACAAAAAGAGAATCTTCATTTTCATGTGCCTGAAAAATTGCAAGTTTTTGACATAAACTAGTATAATGGAACTATCTCAAATCGTATATAAAACTATCTATAAACTCAGCCAAATTCCTTCAAATTTAATAAGTAGATAACTTTAAAGCTGTTGGTTGGACCTCGTCGCTGCAACTTTGTCGTGTTTTCATGGAAAATCCTGAGACCTTACAACATAGAGTATGCTTTGTCTTTTTTTTGTAGATGTGATGTTTCAAAATTGCCTTGGTGCTATTTTACCTATAATTTTGTTTGAAAAGGCGAGTATAAAGAATAAATAAATAGTCCTCGCTGGAACTCGGAGAGGTTATGCGAAGAAGTCCTCGGCACTCCGTCATGTGACCCAGATGAATATGTCGATAAATGATGTGACATAACTTTTCATGTTGACGGAAAAGTTGGTTGGAATCAAATGAGCTGTCGAGAAACTGAAGGGTACATTCTTTTGATCATGCATCCTTGCAGCTTAAGGTCGCTGACTGGGTCTCTTTCGACACGCTTTACTGACATCAAGATTAAGTCATGCCCACGCTGCAAGCATCCACCACAAATGGAAGAGAAGCTCCTCTAAGATTGCGCTCATTTTGCTGGGAAATTTGTAAAATGCATAAAAGACTTTTTGTGTATATGTGTAAACTATGATTCTATCAAATGAATATACATGAATAAAGTACTATCAGGCTTTTGAGTGACAGCATGCTTTGTCTTCTATACGCACAGGTCGGACTTCTCAAGAATGCTGCCTTTTATTTTGTCAAAATGGGTAAAACATGCAAGATCTATTTCTCTCTGAAAGCTCCATATGTTATCTGGACTGAACTAGGCTCAGGCCGAAGTTTTGCTACCAAAATAATCCAATAATATGGAGGATAGGAGGCATAGAACATCCAACCAAAACATGCGAGGCCTAAGTGGACCAAGTTGGAATATAAGAAAGAAGTAGATTTAAAGCT